GAGGTGGGTTCGTCCAAACGTGCTGAATCCCCTGGATCGGCCAATGCACAGACGGTGACACCAAAGTGAAAGATATGTTGCACCCTGTTACCAGGCGCCAGATCCTTGAGTTCGAAATGTTATGGTACTGTATTTTTACAAGGATTTGCATTCTCACAACAGAAATATCCATGCTAGAGGCAATATTCTTGGTACAATTTGTTAATAATGTTAATATTCAGTACATTTCTGTTGTGTGAATCATGTATTAGTTACTGAGCCTGAAAAAGTATCCCAGTTTTAGTATGGATGCCTTATGGAATACCATGATGGTTTTGCTAGCCCTGTGCACTGTAGAAAAATACATGTTGGCATAAATACGGTGTACCAAAGAAAGTGGTATAAGAATACCATTGAAGTATCACTCAAACAATGTACTATAACACAGTTGTAAAAAGTTAAAAGTAAATTCTTGCCGAGCCATGGGGCTCGTAGGGCTGGAGCTTATCCCCAGTTTCAATTAGCGTCAAGCAAATAAGAAAGTGATGCTCCCCATGGGTGGAACACTGGTCCACTGCAGGTTACTCCCAGTAAATTGCTGGTACCCATTTACAGCTAAAGTAGGTAGACAGAAGTAATGAAGATAAAGTGTCTTGCTTAAGGACACAAGCGAAATGCTTGAGGTTGGGAAACCAAACCATTGCCACTGTGCCAAACCGCCCTCACCTAGATGTGTATAAGAGACAGGTATATGCCTTGTTCTGATTGGTTACTTGGAAGTTTGATTGACAGCCCGGAAAGGTCTATTGGGCTAGCAATGACCTAACCTAGAATGGATAAGCCTTAATGTTTTATGTCCGGTAAAAAACTTTTAAAAATTGATGCGCAGTGTCTAAATCGACGCACGCGCAGACCAGAGACAGAACATTTATTTTTTTTGGCCTTAGGCCGACTTCAAAATAGGACTAGTCTATTTCGTTTGCGCGTGTGGGAAAGGCAATCTAGGGTTGTTAAATTGGGATTTAAAGTTGTTAAAGTAATTTGAAAATGATGATTAAGTGATGATGATAATGTGCATATAAAATCCAAATCTTGTAAAATTGAAGTTAAAAATTGAGGGTTTAGGGCCTATAAATGAATCATTTTCACGTCTCAAAAATTTCGCCATCTCGGAGATTCTCTAGAAGGGATTCGTCCCCTCGGCCCATGCTTAGAATTATATAGGCCTACAGTGCTTGTCTTTCGTTGAGAGGTAAACAATTTTTTAAAATTTTGTAATAAATGAAAAGATGATGTGTCAGGCTGTAAAATATTCCCCGCAAAAAATATTAGGCCCAGAAATCCGTCGTCGTCCTTTTAATTCTTCCAAATTAAAAAAAAGAAAGAAAAACATTTTTGTGTGATCAATGCCGTATGCATGTAGGCCTTTTAATGTTGTAGGGCCATAGCAAAAATACTTTACTTTTGTGTTACTTTTTATGATTATTGCGCAATAATATTGGGACAAGTAAAATTGTCTTAAGGACAAGTGCATTTTTCAAAGGTATTTGTCCGAGGACAAGTGAAAAAATATGAAATTCCTTCATGCCTGCAACATAAACCACCAACTCCCTGCATAAAATAAAAACACCATCCCACAAGTATGTTTAACAGTGAACACAGTCCCAGGGCCAAATATAACAGTCCTAGCGAGTTATATCTGCCGACTGTATTACGATAACCACAGAGAGGTTGGCAACTTGGTACTCTAGGTCTCTGGGTCTCTAGGTTAAACGGATAAAGCATTCACAACAAACGTCCATGCTAGGTCGCCTGTAAGGCCCAGAGCCTCCCAACAGTACAGTACTAGACAACATCGGGCTAGGCTATACCTGATTGTGAGTGATAGGTGTACACCCACGTTCACCGTCTTTGTATCTAGGCCCGAATCCATGTCAAACTGTTGATAGTTAAAATATTGAAACTCAATATTTACTGTTTGATTGGTATTTTAAAATAGAATATAGACTGTTAGCCATCGAGCATATTTGCAAAATATTAAAACAATTGTCGCGATATAGGCCTAGTCCCCATTTATCGTTTCTGTATAACATTTAGGTGGTGTAATTTAACTGTTCCCTGGTATGATCATGGTGTGATACGATGTCGATTACCATGAGAACACGATGCAGGAATATTAGATCGTGTAGTTTACACAATAGCGAGCATGTGCAAAGCAATTGGGTCGTCGTAATTAGTTGTAAATGGTTTATTAGTTGATTATGATAAGAGCGGCGGTACCGCAGGTTATAACCTTTGATGTTCGGTTTGAGATGTTTCCATGTAATTTCACTGTTCCCTTTTAATACCAAGTCAAAACCAGGGGTTTCAACTAATGCTGACACATGGGCTTCTTTTCGAGACTATTTTTGCAAAATAAAGAGGGGGGAATTCTTTTTAAAATAAATGCTGTAAAGTTCAAGTAAGCAATTAAAGGTTAATGTACATTAAATTTTATTATTTGTTTCATTTTTGTAGTATTTCTAAAACATTTTAAAATTTCAATTACAAAATAAACTAATAATAGTAGAAATAATAATAATAATAGTTTAAAAACTTCAATTAAGACACCAGACTGCTATATGGTAAAACTTCATCCAACTTACGCGCCAAACTCATCAAGGCCATGGGCTTGAACCAGCGGCCATTTCTCAATTGTAAATGGGTCAAACTTCTGTTGGTGACCTAGAAAAAAAGGACAAGAAAACAAGTATCATGATAGTTGAGCTAACCAAATACAAACCTTGCTAGAAATTGCAGTACAACTTATACACAGCAGGGGCAGATCCAGGATTTGAATCAAGGAGATTCACAGTAGGGTATCCAGGAATCTGAAAGTCTAGACCGCCTTTATGATTATGAAAATTTATGATTATGAGACCTCTAATAGCCAGAAATGGCACTCTCAGACTCAAATTTGTATATAAAAGTAGCCCGGCCCCACTGAATCCACCAACTGCAGTATTTCTTTTTGAGTTACCTCATAGAGGTGGGTTCGTCCAAACGTGCTGAATCCCCTGGATCGGCCAATGCACAGACGGTGACACCAAAGTGAAAGATATGTTGCACCCTGTTACCAGGCGCCAGATCCTTGAGTTCGAAATGTTATGGTACTGTATTTTTACAAGGATTTGCATTCTCACAACAGAAATATCCATGCTAGAGGCAATATTCTTGGTACAATTTGTTAATAATGTTAATATTCAGTACATTTCTGTTGTGTGAATCATGTATTAGTTACTGAGCCTGAAAAAGTATCCCAGTTTTAGTATGGATGCCTTATGGAATACCATGATGGTTTTGCTAGCCCTGTGCACTGTAGAAAAATACATGTTGGCATAAATACGGTGTACCAAAGAAAGTGGTATAAGAATACCATTGAAGTATCACTCAAACAATGTACTATAACACAGTTGTAAAAAGTTAAAAGTAAATTCTTGCCGAGCCATGGGGCTCGTAGGGCTGGAGCTTATCCCCAGTTTCAATTAGCGTCAAGCAAATAAGAAAGTGATGCTCCCCATGGGTGGAACACTGGTCCACTGCAGGTTACTCCCAGTAAATTGCTGGTACCCATTTACAGCTAAAGTAGGTAGACAGAAGTAATGAAGATAAAGTGTCTTGCTTAAGGACACAAGCGAAATGCTTGAGGTTGGGAAACCAAACCATTGCCACTGTGCCAAACCGCCCTCACCTCCATAGTTGAGTCACAGAAAAATACAGTAAGCAAACCATATTAAATGGAATGATGCATCAAAGAGAATATAAATCATTATGAACAAACTTACATTTCAACAAAAACAAGATGCAAGAAAGGAATGTTCTGCTTCTCAGTGCGCAACCATTAAACACCTAAAGTTCTGAATGCAAGAATTGTTTAAAGCAAAAAATTTGACTTATCAGCCACAGCCACCACACACACTAATATATAAACTGAAACATTTCCATTCTGTATACCAGATTTTTGTGGTCACCTTCATATGAAAGGACAACAAAAAATGTATAATGTTACTGCTTACAATACATAATGTATAGAATACCCAGAATATGAACACATTAACATGCCATTTATTACCAACATTTTTGCTCACCATGTGTGCTGTATGGAACACCAATTTTCAAGCAGTTTTGATTCATCTCAATGAAACTCTTAATCTTGAAGTTTTCTGCAGCTTCATCCTCTTCAAACTGAAACAACACATAATACAAAACAATACAAATCAAAATATTTTTCTTCTGATATTTGTGTAACCAACTTACTTGTACATTAGAAAACATATTTCAAAATAAAAAATTATAAATAACATATACTGTACCTTCAAATAATAAAGTGTGTGTTTTCTTCAAGTTCTCTTTTTTTTGTGTTTCTTTGTGTTTGTGAGGATTGGCCCTTGATGGCACTTGTAGCACTATAAAAAAAAGAGAAATTAAGATTGCTTTCTAGTACTTGTTAATTTTGTTTGATTATATTATAAGAGAAAGAAAAGAAATAAAGAACATGTGAAGAGGTTTAAGTCAAGCTTATTTCTTGAATAGAAAGAATTAATGTAGTATCATTTTTTTTCAAGCTTTAATTGTACACAAATCTTAACTGTCTTGCACATGGCTTTACTTACTTGAAAAATAAATTTTTTAAGCTTGAGAGATTTTTTTTTTTTTTTTTGTGTCATTTTTTATTAAATGTGTGCTTTTTTTTAAATCTGTCAATGTATATGAAATTACTGAAGAAAAAAAAAATAAAGACAGTCTATATTATTTATAATATTGCATTGTTTAATATTTTGAACTGGATGAGTGAGGTTCACAAACTTTTTGTTTATAGTTATTAAGTTCACTTTTGTGTCCTGGCCCACTCATTCAATCCACTCCACTTGTATTCCATATACAGTATGTCCATATATATATACTACCATTGTATTGTACTTTTTTTTTTTCATGAATAAAGAATAAGAATATTATATTTGAACACACCTCATTTTCAGTCATACAGTGTATTTGGAGGTTCTGCCATGAGCTAATGTAAGGCAGGAGGTAATGATAGTTGATGGGGTTACAATACACATGAACACTGTCTTTCTTGATAAGAAAAATAAGGTCTGAAAAACAAAACATATAATTAACATTATAATGACTAGCAATATACAGTAAATCAGTGCATAGGTATATGCTCATTGGTTACATTTCTGTGTACACCCGTTTCCAGCCTCAACCAAGCTAGAAAGAAAGACTAAGCCTACACAGATGTAGTTAAAAACCATTTTATAATATGGGTATAGTCGCACAGAGATGAGCTTTCACACACCCAGTTAATCCTACTCATGGTAAATATTGGTGTTCATATTAGTATAGTAGAATTAACAACACATGGTTTTTGCCTTCCTTATAGTAATATCTTTTTAATCAGTGTATTCATGAATGTACAATGTTATTATAAACAGCTAGTTAAGGAGGAATTATTGTATCTTAACTGTCATCTTGTAATAAAGCTTATTGTAAAGATCACTTTGATGTTCTGAAATTGTGAATTTTTTCATTCTGAGGTATAATGATATCATGTACAGTACTGTATCAATGTGATATCAACAACCACCCTAAGAAACTGTGGTATCGAAATGCAGTTGCTTAGTGAAGATGATACAGCACACAAAGCCCATGCTTGCTCAAGTTTAATAGATCACAGCAGAACAAATGACAGAAGCACAAGGCACACACATTAAAATTCACTCACCATCAATCGTTTCTTCATCGTAGCCAGAACTAGAAAACAGAAAGAATCTTATGTGTGAAACGTAAAAAAAAAAAGAGGAATGTCAATTTTATCTTAATAGGGATGTTTCTTTTTACCATAATAAAATTATTTCAGAATTACACTATGCATATGCAGGCCTTTCACTAGGATTCTAAGTAGGAGGTAAATTTTCCAAAGTAGAAGGTGAGGTGCAAAGCACCAAGATGAGAGGGTTAGACCGTGGGTGGTGTCTCGAAAAACCCACCAAAAACAGGCTATTTTTACAAAAATGTTAATAATTGTCAACTTGGGGAAACTGTAACCAAAAAATGGAAATTAATCTTTAAATAAAAAATAATATTGCTGACAAAAGCAGTAGCCAATCACAGCACATTTACCATACCTGCTAAGTGCTGATATGATGCCGCCAATCACAAGCGTTCTTGTAAACCTGGCAACAAATGATGCTAACTCATGTTTTAAATCATTCGATTTTATGTGGTATTGTACCATCCCAAATGAAAATCGCAAAAGTTATCCTTGAATTTAAGAAAGGGAATGTCCAAAACGTGTATCTACAGACAATCTTATTACTGTACTTACTTCCTGTTCGAAAATCTTAGAAAGAATTATGTACACTCATACTCCATTTTTACTAATCATCAATATGGCTTTAGGGCAAAACACACAACTACTCATGCTATTTTATCTCTTATTAATTAAGTTACTACTGCACTTGATAATAGATTGCATATAGTTGGGGTCTTTCTGGACTCCCAAGGCCTTCGACAGTGTTGATCATGACATCCTTCTCCATAAGTTATCTAACTATGGTATTCGTGGCAAGGCCTTGGAGTGGTTCAGAGACTACTGTACCTCACTGATCGAATGCAGTACGTCCAAAATAATGGGGTAGAATCTCGGCGTAAACCTGTTGTTTGTAGAGTCCCGCAGGGATCCCTGTTAGGTCCCCTTCTTTTTCTTGTTTTCATTAATCATTTTGTTCGCTGTTCTGATGTTCTTTCATTTATTTTATTTGCCGATGGTTCAAAACTTTTTTTTCTCACAAGAATGCATCTGAACTAATTAGAATAATAAATACTGAACTCTGTAATATTATGGAGTGGACCCATGCCAATCGCTTACCTCTCAACGTTTTAAAAACCAGATTCATGTTTGTCAGTAACATTTTAAAACACCCTCCTGCTCCAATAATATCAAATGGTAAAGAAATTACAAAAGTTGAATCCACAAAATTTCTTGGAATTTAAGTTAATCAGCGATTGGCATGGGGTGATATTCACAATACCTGTAATATCATAGTATTTGAGCGTATCTCGCTTATCCTTAATCGGTCGTCCCCCAACTTTGAGTATGTTATAGCTCAGACAATTCTCTTTCGTAGATGTGACTTCTTTTTCATTTTGATGATGTCGTCATGGTAAAAATTGATGTTTTTTCTGACCACCCTCATCTTTCTTTCTTCAAAACTTTGATGACCCCACATCATAATAACTATTAGTCGTCCCCCAACTTTGAGTATGTTATAGCTGAGACAATTCTCTTTTATAGATGTGACTTCTTTTTACATTTTGATGACGTCGTCATGGTAAAAATTAATGTTTTTTCTGACCACCCTTATCTTTCTTTCTTCAAAACTTTGATGACCCCCCATCATAATAATCATTAGTCATTTCTGAATCATATTCAGTGGGCATAAACTTCAGGTCAAGGTTGAATATCATGTACCTTAATTTTCCGTTCACGCGTCTTAACGTGCGCATAAGCGTGTGTCAAAATTTATATATGCTTAAAATTATGCCCATTTTTAATCAGTTGTAATTTTTATTACATATTCTGAAAGCACATGAGTTGTAGATATGATTTTATAGATCAATATGGCTGATCGGACATTGTGATGTCATCACATTGTCATCTGAATTTTTTTTAAACGAATTTTTTATTAATGACATCATTATTTTTATACTCATTTGAACGTACCTCGCTTATTCTTGTTCGATCGCCTCCCACCTGTATGTAATTGTTGAGACAATTCTCTTTTGGAATTGTCCTTTCATTTTGATGACGTCATCATGGTCAAAATGAATTATTTTTTGGACCCCTCTCATCTCTCTTTCTTAAACTTTGTGAAAAACAGAGGGCGGCAGACTGTATTTCGACGCTATCAGACTGATATAATATAGTTCAAATGAAGAGAGAATTTGTGTGTCATTACCAACCAACAGGCATTTTTAAAATTACACTTAACAAGGTTCAATTTCTTGTGCAATTACCCTCCACGCGCATGTCGCGACGTGCGCGTTAAAATTTGAAGTTCTCAATATCACTTTTCAGATAATTTAAAGCACGTTTCAGGTCATTTTCAGCATTCCAAAACTTTCCATAATTTACACGCCGTACGCTCATTTCCACACGCACAGTGATGTACTGAAGCTAGAAATTACGTTTTGTTACATATTTTGGTTTCCTGACACTGTATTCATATCAGGATTCAAGATGTGTGCGTACGCATGTGTAAATCTTTTAAAATGTTCTAAATTACCCTTTTGTTAAAACCAATTGGAGCATATATTTTAGGCCATTTTGAGCATTTTAAAACTTTACAATCTGCACCGCGCGCACTTCCTAAGGGTCAAAGTGCGGTAGAAACTCGTCCTCGTTGGTGACGAGTTCGAATCTAGTTGGTGATTCGCATCTAGTGCAGATCACCTCCTCTTGTTATTGTCAGGATCTTCTTCATCTTTTTTTTATTCTTCTTTCTTTCTCCCCTTTACTTTTCGCACGATATCTCAAAATTGCCGCGAGCTACAGTACGCACAACGAACATTCAGCTTCTCCTGGATTAGTCACGGTAAGGGTTTCAAGGTGACCAATCATGCGTGACGTCATCTACGCGCAATTGCCATTTCGAAATTGCCATTTCGAAATCGTATTAAGTGAGCATTAACTTCAGGTCAATGTTTTAATGTAATGTACCCTAATTTTACGCGTGCGCTTTATAACGCGCGCGTATGCGTGCATCAAAATTTCAAAATGCTCGAAATTACGTTTTGACTAAATTAGAGCAAGGTTCAGGCCATTTTGAGCATTCCAAATTTTTTTTTATTTTCCCCTACGCGTGCAGCACGTACAGAAAGCGCGCAGCACGTACAGAAGCTAGACATTACGTTTTTTCACATATTTTGGGTTCCTGACATTGTTTTCACAAATTTCCATTCTTTTCAGTCATCTTATGGCCAATAGCAATGCCGTACGCGTGCATCAAACATAGGGATCTTTGTGCGCGTTTGTGCCAATATACCGTGAAAATATGCTAAAATCAGACGTACTTTTTAATCAGTTATAGCTCATCAGCTATAGAACATGAGATGTAGATATGATTTTATAGATCATTTTGGCTAATCGGACATTGTGACGTCATCATATTGCCATCTGAATTTTTTTAAATGAATATCGATTTATGACGTCAATATTTGTATACTTTTTTTGAACCTATCTCGCCTATCGTCTCCCACCTTCAAGCATGTTATAGCTGAGACAATTTCCTTTCTCAATGTTTCAATCATTTTTCACTTTGATGACGTCATCATGGTTAAAATGAATGTTTTTCTAACCTCTCTCCACCTCTTTTTTTAAAACTTTGAAGAGCCCGAGAGAGGGCGGCAGACTTAATATTTTTCTGTACAGTTTTAAAATCCTGGCTACAGTATTTTTCCATATTTCACTTTTAAGCGCTGCAAGAATTCTTTTGCCTGACAAGCTGATCACCTAACTCGTCCTCAGTGACGAGTTTAAATTTAGTTATTATTATTATTATTATTATTATTATTTTTTTTTTTTTTTTTTTATTATTGTTAGTATTTTATTATTATTATTATTGTTACTATTATCATCATCACTATTATCCTTACTGTAATGTGTCTTACTCTCTTAGGTCTTGTAGTTAAATTATAGTATAATATAATAATAATAATTATTATTATTATTATTACTATTATTATTATGACGTCATCATTATTATTATTATTATTATTATTATTATTGTTGTTATTATTGTTATTATTATTATTATTATTATTATTATTATTATTATTGTTGTTATTATTGTTATTATTATTATTATTATTTATTACGTACTGTCTGGATTTTCTAGAAAAAGATCTATTTAAAAACCATCAACAAGCTTTTGGTCAGATGTTGAATATGGTAGTGAACATGCTTTGGTCTTGCCAAGGAGTTTGTTTGTGATACGGAAAAGACGCCTTTGATCAGTGGCACATGCTTCGATTCGGCGTGAAAGAAATGCCGAAGAAGTGGGGTACTTCTTTTTGGGAAGGGGAGTATTGAACCTTTAAATGATATCATCAACTAAGGGTTGACTTGACACGAGGTAGCTCTTGGAACCTCGTTTGGAGACTTCTGTAGAGAGAGGACCTCCACCATAGGTGGTAGCTGTATCACCCACTAATGTAACAATGAACCACTAATGTAACATTAACCACTGTTGTAACAAAAATCAACCACTGTTGTAACAAAAATCAACCACTAATGTAACATTAACCACTATTGTAACAATGATTTAACCACTGTTGTAACAATTTCATTAACCACTATTGTAACAACAATTTAACCACTGTTGTAACAAAATTCATTAACCACTATTGTAACAACAATTTAACTACTAATGTAACAACGTACAATAGAGGTCTCCAAGCCAAAAGCTTACTTGCATTGTCCAATTAAAATTTCACATTTATGATTGTTGTGGCATTTAAAAAAATTATAATTTTCGTTATAGATCAGATTTATTAAAATGGTTTGAGACATTGTAAATATGTAGTTTGGATATTTAAACGTCAGTGTTCATGAAAAACAGTAAACAGCTTGGTTCCCAAATGTCTGTTTATATATATATATATATATATATATATATATATATATATATTTGGATAGTA